AATAGTATATTTAACAGGCCAAAAGGGAGCAAATAACAGAAGTTCATTGTTAGGGTTTCCATACAATTTAATCTGTTCATGAATAGCACATATTTGATGATGATGATGATGATGATAATAATAATAATAATAATAATATCTGGCTGATATATTTTATCCAAGATTCTGAATTTGGTCATCTCAAGGGAAGGATCAGAAGGAGAAGCCTCACAGAATCCTCCTGTGTTCATTATAAATGCCGAAGAGAGCCTGTTTTTGAACATCAATGACACAGGTCTTCCAGTTACTGTTATTGTAAGTACTATTGAAGGTGTGTGTATGTGTATTACATATCATAATGAGAATGGAAAGATATCATGCAATTGTCCAAAACAAGATACTAATGCCACCTTAATCTTACAGTACGCCATTTGTCACACAATCTCATCAGAATCTGGTCACTTCCCTAGAAGTGGAGGTGATGCCAGAGCAGAGGTTTCTTTGGGAAATAATATTTTACAATGTTTAAAGTTACAATATATGGAAGAGAGCTGTTTTACTATCAAAAGATTTGCATTGCTGTCCTCCCAGTCCTGAGAGTTACACAGCCCTGCCAGGCAACATAGCCAGGCTGGTGACCTGACTTTTCTCTGCTACAGTTAAGCCATACAACTTGGTAACCTCCCTGTCCAGCTGCAGCAACATATGCAACTGTTTACATCAGAATAGGATTGCTGACCTTGTTCTGAAAGTTCTAGATGCTTGGCAGTCATGCTGATCCTCTGGTTTGAGTTCATTCTGAGTGGCTAACACCGACTAAGTCACAAGGTCTGACTTCATGGGCTGCATACTCTTTCCAGGTCATTGTCATGGCTATAAAAAAAATGGACTGCTTTTATCTTTTACTGGCCAGCTCATTCATATATACAACTGCAAAAAGGTGGGCTTTAATGCCTAACCGCCACAAATATGTGTCCACCGTTCTCTGCTGAAAGCAGGCTCACTTTGTGCTCCCAACACGGCAGCTCCCGATCACTATTTATGATCAGGACTCAGGCAATGGACTTCTGAATATGTGATTGATGTGATTGGCTGTCACAGTGATCACATATTGGGGAGCCAGTCCCTGCCTCTTTTCATTAATAACTTTCCACATTGCACATTCCCATGTTCACATATATGTTTTATTTATTTTTTATTAGCATTCCAAATCAGTTCAGATCTTCTCATCGCACCGTAATGATTCACCTTTCAATGATACGGAGAGTGAGGAACTTTTACTATGGGCAAGGCGGAAATATGGGGAAGTCTCCTTCTTCGCTGAGCTTAAAGATAACCATAACATTCTTCTGAAGATGAGGAAAAGTAAGTGACAGTGAATATCATTTCACATAAGGTGCTATAACACGTAGAGGTGATCCCCCCTAGACTTCCGAGCCCACATTTCATATTTTAGCTGAAGCTTTAGTACTTTTTATATGAGTTCATGAATTCAGAGTCTGTCTATCCTGTGGTTATAACCTGTCATTGGAATACAAAGGGGGTGATTTACTAACCTAAACACACGCACACACCAGGTGCGTGTGATTTTCACACAGCAAAACGTATTTATCAACCAAAAAGTCTCTAAAAGCACATTTCCACTAATGCCATATATGGAAAAATCATGCACATGATGCATATATAATGCTGCTTCACAGTTTAGACAAAAATGGTTAGCTCATGCATTTACATTCCTGCATTCATCAACACAAGCAACACAACATAGAGCTAATTTACACAACATCACCTTGCAATTCATGCTTGGCTTTGCACAACGCACCTGCTGGGTGTGTACACACTACAAAGGTGTTTAGATTCCACCCATAGATCATGCTGGGAGGGAACACACTACAGAGGTGTATACATGTTCGTGGTGTGTTTATAAGGTTAGTAGATCAACCCCAAAGAGTCAAACTGTAAAAGAAAATGTTGAAAGCTAACCTATCTAGCGGGTGGTGAGTCCAGTCTTTGCGAAGCTATGGGTCCATAGAACACTTCCAACTGTAGGATACACAGCAGCTGGCAGCTTGAAAAGTTGAAGATGTGGGACTGGATTCCAATGTAGTCAATACTGTTCTTCACCTAGACACCGGACATGACTCTGACTGCGCCAACAATGAGTGTAGTGTGATCTGGTAACATCAAAGGGCCCATTTACACTATTGCGTTGCATTAAAGGAGAACTGTGAGGCGAGTGAAAATCACTCACCCTCATAGTTCTAGCCGACCTGTGACAATTAAACTGTAGCAGGCCGGCTCAATAGATCACGAAGTGAGCGAACACATACCATCGCTCGCTCACTTCTTGATCCTGTCCCTGCAGAGAGACGTGACTGTCACTCACGGCTCTCTGCAGGGATTCCCCCCCTGCCCGATCCTCCAGTGCTGACTGGCGGAATGGACGGGGGAGGGGGCGGGTACAGCTGGCTCTGTCTCTGGATAGGCAGAGCAAGCTGTCACTCACGCAGCTGGGTGGATCTCGACAGTAATGTCGGGATCTGTCCCGGCTGCGGCGTCTAAGTATACTCGTGGTATACTGAGCTTTGGGTGACAGGAGGATGCCAGTTTGTGTCCTACCGTGACCCTTAGGAGAACTATGGGAAAAAGCCCTGACCCCATAGTTCTCCTTTAACTGCCATTCATTTTCTATGTGCCCCCTTGTTGAGTCTGTGTTGATCAATGCAGCTCACCAGACATGGTGTGAATGAGCACCAAAAGAATATATACAAGTCATTGTAACACCCATTAAATAGACCCTGTCACCAACTTGCAGATAATGCAGTGAAAATTAAATATTTTACATGCTTCATTGCAGCGGTTTTCCTTTCAATAAATTAATTTATTCACTTGCAATGTACTTTTTGAGCTTGCTAGCAAATTTGATAACTGCAGAAAGAGTCAATTCCCCGGCACAGCCCCTTCCACCCTCCCCATTGGCACATCATAGCCCTTTCCTCTTCTGAGAGTATCTAAGTACTGTTCCTGTTGGCCCAGCTCCCCTGCCCCTCCCCTTACCTTCCTATATAACCTTTTTTGTAGCTGCTGTGGAGGAGCGTAGGGTAATACTGTAGAGCGGGGTAGCCCTCCAGCTGTGGTGAAACAACAAATCCCATCTTCTCTCTGCCTCTGGGAGCCATGCCTGTGGCTATTAGAGTTTTGCAATACCTCATTGGATTTGTAGTATCACCAAAGCTGGACTGCCGACGTTTGGCCACTCCTGGAGTGTCTCTTGAATGACAGCTCTGAGTCTGCTGTGCTACTGAAAACACATCCAAAATGGTGGCACCCAGTAGCAGTTAATATTTATATTGTTATATTTTAAAAAGCTTTGGCTGGAGTTGTGCATTAATAAGGAGATTTTTGTTTCTCCCAGGTAAAACTGGACCCGAGTTTTGTATCCCGCAGGACAATTTCAGCTTTGGGGATATGCTGCAAGCAGTAAGTGAAGGCACACAGAGCATAGAGAGCTGTAGTTACAAAACCTCAGGGCCAGACTCAAAGGCTGAAATAAATGCCTACATTGTACAAGTGACCCACGATGGACCTCTGTCAAGGTACGGGTAACCTTTGATCGTTCATAACTGTCTGTGAATGGAAATTCGTTTTTAATTTTCCATAATGTGAGCCATTAACCCCGACACTGAATGCTGATTAGGGGTCAGTGGCATAACAATCACCATAGCGACCCAGGCTGGCCAGGACATCCCCCTGGTGCCGTTCGGGCCGCCTGGGTGCTGCTATTCACATGTGCAGCGGCGCGTTCCTCCTCACAGCCGCTGCTGAGTCGGTGACAACCAGCAGCTTCGGAGGAGGTGGCTGGGCCCGTCATCGGCAGCGATGGAGGAGGTGGGGCCCATTGATCGAGTAAGCAGGGCTTAGCGAAGGGGGAGGCGGGCCCTGCCTCCTCCATCACTGGGGCCCGTCTCCTCCATCATGAAGGAGGCAGGGCCCGCAAGCGATCGTGGAGGAGAAGGAGGCGGACAAAGGATCGGAGCAGACAGATAAGAGGGCTTGACCGCCCATCTGAGACCCTGCAGAGCCCACCATAGAGAGTATATGGTGGGCTCTGCAGTGTCACCCTCAGGTGGGCTGTGCGGGATCTCAGGTGGGCTTAACTAGAAATCACAGGGCCCCATACAAAAATTTGCTATGAGGCCCTGTGATTTCTAGTTACGCCCCTGGTAGGGGCGCTGACGTTCAGTATGTGTATGCATTCTCTGGGTCAGTGACTCAAAAGGTATTGAAGTCAACCAACATTTTCTTAAAAATGGGTGAACAAGGTCCTTCAAACCCTTGGTGAACGACAGGTCATTTACAACCCCTTAGCCATAAAGTATGGGGAGCCCTCAAAATGTGTTGGCTGTTTTGTGTTATCCTGTTATGAACTAGTACTAATATTTAAAGAATTTGGACCTTTTTTGTTTGACGCTATCATTAGAATTTGTACATGATGATCCTCAACTCTGCGTTCACTTTTAAAGGGGTGTCCTGTTGTGGGGTGAGCAGCCTTACCAGAGACAATGTTCCCTGTTAAAATTTTACTGACTTTTTAAAAAGTAAAATCCGGCTCCTTGTTTTCACTTTTTGGGCACTAATGCATTTCCAGATCATGTAGATATTCCACCGCACACCTGACCATTATATCCCCTGCTTCTCTTTGTGGGTGCCGCATGAATACAATCAGAAGAAAAGCACACCAATGTATCATCATCCACCAATGCCTTTATTGACATTGAAATCAATATATCAAAAGTTGTAGTGATGTTTCATGACTAATATAGAACAGATGTCCCAATTCCTTTGATGTCAAGACTGCTATAACCGCCCAACCTCCCCTATTCCTCCCAAAAACCAGACTACACAATGTTGGAGTTAAATTATACAAAAATATAAAACATGACCGAACTATAAATCAAGCATGAGGTTTCAGGGTCTTTTTGAAGGCCAAAACGTATTAACCGATATGCTGTCTCGGCGGAAAACTTCTTGAAACTGTTAGGCCCCCAGCCGCACCACACCACCTCAGGGACAACCTGCACGTTGACCGTGGACACATCCATATCTAAGTGACCTCTTCACCTACCATAAATCACCATGACTTGAGGACCCATACCAAAACAGGTCCCCAACCGTTATCAACCAGACCTATTTTCCACCTTCAAAAGACCCCAAACCACCAACACTGCTATGACAGAAAATAGACTACAAAAAACCCCCAATAATAGTGTGGGTGGGTGAGAAGTTCTCTCCAACGATCTCCGACTACAGCCAATGAGACCCTCCTCCTCGGACCACCCCCAAAGGCTCCGCTCAAACTTTGAACCTGACCAATGGTAAGTGACCCCACCCTGTTATCCGTCCCTTAATTAACTCTTTATTTTCCTTGTCTCCCCTCTTCACTTAGTCATGTAAGCCCCTCGCCTATATTTATTTTTTTTGCTTCGGGCTTAACCAGACCCTGCAGGGTCTCCTTATGATTCCTTCATTGATGAAGAGACCCTGTGAGATCTCAAACCGTCACTACATCTTTTGATGTAATGTTTTAAACATCAATAAAGGTGTTTTTTTGGATGAAGAGACATTGGTGTGCTGTTGACTTATCTTCTGCTTGATGAGTTTCAGGGTCACGTCGCTTTATCAGATTATGATAATGACTCTACCTTGTGCAACAAAAAGAATAGAACTGTAGTCCCATGGACTACTGACCACAAGGAAAAATGGTAGGAAAGCCTACCTATTATTTCTAAATAAACAATGAGACAGAATTTTGACCATTATTGATTATACTTGTAGAAAGCTATACTTGTCATGTCTAACTAGTGATATGCAATTCTTCTCACCCTGTTTTCCAGTCACAAAACAATAGACATTCATGCCAGTACTGTCAATGGACCATGTGGTAAGCCGCCAATGTTATTCCTGCTGAGTGACCCCGACTACATCTGGAATATTCTGAGTAGAGAAGATATCGGTTTAGAGGTGAGATAATGGTCATATGTCTTCATGAATTAACAATGACCTTTGTTATCAGGAAGTGTGTTAGGATTGCAGTAGACCTCCCCCATATCTTATGGTGGGATCACCGGGTAGAAATAAAGGAAAAAAGGCCTAACAAAAGGTAAAATAATGCAGATGCCATATGGAAGGACTGGTAGCCTGCAACATATAAAATGTTTCATCTTGGATTTAGATACTCTTTAACATAGGACGCACAGACATTTTTGCACGCCTTTTTTGGGGGGAAAAAGTGTGTCTTATGGAGCGAAAAATAAGGTAATTAGCATGACTTTTTCATTTCCTATATTTCCTGGCTTCTATGTAAGCACCCAGTTCTATTAAATCCCAAGTCTAACTTGGATAATATGTAAAAGGGTCGGAATCATAGCTGTTCATTGACGTCTGTATTCTCATTTAGGAGATATCTTCCAACTTCCCATGCCTTTGGTAGGTTTTTGACAGAACAGGAAGTAAGGAAAATCTACCCTCCTACTGTCTATTTGACAGGTGTCAGACAGGACAGAAAGTGAAGGGAAATCGCTCCATCAGGGACACAGACAGCAATAAAAAATGCATCTTGTTATAGAGTGTGAAAGGTAGATCCCCTGTGGGGACTATATTAATTTGGGAAAATTGACCTCACTTTCTTTGCAGGTGACAGAACAGGAAGAGATGACAGCTCTCTTTAAGGGGGGCATGGAGAGCATGACAAAAGTTGTCACCATTTCTCATTCTGCCCAAAGCTAAATCGTTTCAGCTCTATCAAAGTTTACATTTTTACATCTGTAGGATTGCACAATCCTGAAGGGCAGACTGAAAGAGAGCTCCTAAGGGGTCATCTCTTTACATTCCTGCTTACATAATCAGTGATGGAAAGTTGAATGTTTTGGTGCCTTTTCTATGATGTATAGTAAGGAAAGCACCAGGCACATTGTTTAATTTTTATTACGGTCACATTTGCTTAAAACCAATCCGCTTTGGTGGTTCAGAAGGTCCCCCTTCACCAAGGCAAGGTAAAAGCTGGAGGAGAGACATAGATGCCTACTTGAAAAATATGGAACAATCTCAAAGAGTAGTTTGGAAGGATAAATGGATCTGCTCCAGACACCCAGTGTCCATTCCTCTCCTCTAACTTTCATCAAGGTCTGATAAAGGGGAGCCCCTGATGCATGTTGTCTCAATAAAATTAACGGTGGGATTTAAGACGTGTCTGGTGCCTCCCTCAGCTCACACTAGTCGAAGACTTGCCAACTCATGGTCATTATTTTTTGGAAAGTTGTCTAAAGGGAAATTGATTCCCATATACCAGACCTGAGACTGAACTGGAACAGCTATTAGACCCCGCACTCCAGTGCCCCATAGCTTTTTGTAGTTGTGGTTCAACTTTAGGCCCAAATGATTCTGATGCTGGCCACTCGCCAGGCACATCACCACAGTTGGAGTCGTTCCCACTGTGATTCTCGGCAACACTTTACTAGCAGCAGATTCCCCCGTGTTGACATGGGGCTTAACGGCTTTTCATTTTGTACATTTTGTATTTATTTTTTCAGTAAATATTTTTGTCCTTACTGACATTTGGGGTTTTTTCATTCCCAGGCTTCAGGAAAATATAAATTAGGTGATATAGAAATATCTACTGACCAGCAGCTGACATATAATACAATTGTGGAGAAAGCTGAAAATATGAACGTGGATACTATATCGTTAATACAAGTTGCCTATGCCAGATCCGTAAATATATCTATGTCATGTGGTAAGTTCTAGCAAGCCCATATAATACACACACACATATTTATATATGTACACAAAGGGCATGTGCCGCGGTTTTGTATACACTTATGGTCAGAAAAAAATGAAGATTATACAAATATTTTTAGGCAAGAAATATTGCATATAGATATTTTGTATTCTCTTTGGTGTTGTTCACAGAGCTCAGTAGCTGAAGTTTACATACAGGAGTGAACGAGCCAGAGCAGTGACTCCTCCCCTTCCATCACTGTCACCGGGCTCCATAGAAATTTCCACCAAGCTCTGCCTTTAGAAAATCCATAGTGCTCTGTGAATCCAGTGATAAGGGTGCACGTTGTTTGAAATGTTTCTTTGTGAAGTAGAGATTTTATAGAAGTAGTTATGAACAGCAATGGAATGCTGGTTTAAAAATCCGTGAATAACATTAACATGAAATTGAGCAGAAAACCATTCTAGCAGTATCTTGTAAGGACTTTGTCAGCCTATCTTTGACTACAAGCACACCTCTCGACTGAGATGAGAAAGAGGGACCACAATCAGCAAAATGTATACATGTATGCCGGCCTGGGAGTGGACCCCAAACCCACCATGTTGGGGAGTTTGTAAAGCTGTGAGAAATGACGCTTAATGGTTTTTAATGGTCTCCCTTCTTATATGACTATAGTAAACCAACCAAAAATGACAACTCCAACTCCAGTGAAATCTGAAGGGCCGTGTTTCAGGACTCAGTCTGTGTGTACAGATGAATACTTGGTCATCAATCTGGAAAAGAACCCACAGGTAAGGCCGACTTTAGATATACTAAACTGGCTAACTGGCCCGCTGTCCAGGGGAGAACCTTTGGCCTGGAGGTCAAACACATCATGGTGGCCCTTTCATGGTATGGACACATTTTTATGGGCAACAGAAATTGTACCACACAGGTTGTGCCTTTGATTGGTGGGCATGGTGAAAGGTGGGTGTTTAGGACATGGTTTATTGTGACACACCTTTACAACTTCCAACATCAGCTTCCTCTTCAACGCTCTGCACTCATTAACAGGACATTTGAGAGCCGCAAAGGAAGTGCAGATCTAAGCAAGGGGCAGATAGCTTATACAATGTCCAATGGGCCCTGCCGATATCAATATCTGAATGGTGAATTATGTCGACTAAGTGCTAAAACTCCAGAATATCGTATTATTACTGGCCTAGGGGCAAATGGCCCCCAACCATCCAGCCCAGATCTCCCCGGCTTCTGTCTTTAAAGGACAACTTCACTTTTAGCTCTTAATATCCAGCTTGACCATGCACAAATAAAAAAAAAGTAGCTTTCGCTGCCATACTAACCCTATCACTAGAGCTTTCCCTGTAGATCTTGCTCCAGTCCTCTTCTGGTTTGAATGACATCCAGCATGATTTGACCCACTTCCTGTAAACCTGAGTTCATCATGGCACCGCCATGTGCTCACAGGACAGATTTGTCTATACATTGTATTTGCTAGATGTGATAATTATGTCAACCAGGCAGGGCAGTGGTAGGAGAGTATCATAAATATGTCAAAAGATCCCTTCTGTGACTTAGTTCAATGTTGCCTATATGATACTGAAGATATGTCTGCACAGGGTGACCACCGTCCTGCAGCGTTGGAAACTCGTGGTCACCCCATTCAATAAAGCTTCAGTGAGAGCAGAAACTGGAAGGATCCACGGTCCATTTATTGAATGACAAATCCAGCATCATTCAACCGACTTCCTGTAAACACCAGAAGTCATAGGCACGTTCCTGGGAATTCATTAAAAGTATAAAATGACTTTGCATTATAAAAGTACCCTGTGCACTTGGTCATATGTTGTTTATTTAAGGGGAGGTATTGGAGCTCAAAATGTTCATTTTTTATTGACCCCTAGGTGAACTGTCAGCTTCCAGAACCTGCGAACGTATACCTCGGGGAGCCTGAATGTACTGCTAAACTGGAAGATAATTCACTGGTGCTTGTTGTTTCCAGGAACGAATGTATGTCCAATTACAAGTTTGGACATATAATGAACCTGGTAAGTAAATCAGGCCTCTATCAAGAGTAAAGCACAATGCAGTGAGAACAGTATCATTGCAAAGTTTACCGTATGTTTAATGACTATTAGATTTTTATATATTTGCTCCTTCTTATTATGGTCATTCTACTAAAAAGAAAGCCTAGTAGATTAGTCACTAAAAGGGGCACATTTTTAATATGCGACTCTGCTGTTTCTACTACCAAATCTAAACAATGGCTCCCTGCAATAAAATACTCTGTATCTCGAGTCCAAATTCCTCTGTCTTCAGAGGCTGCAACCTCCAGCAATGTCTCCAACATTTGACACTTCCAGGAGTGTTAAATGTCTGTGCCCCCCCCATCAGATGCCATGGTTTCTTCATCCAATAACACCTTTATTAACACCCATTCAGCATATCAAAAAAAGAGCAAAAAGGGACCCTGCGAGGTCCTGAAACGTTGCTCTGTTTTGGAATGGTCATCAATAAAGGTGTTTTTGGATGAAGATCAGTAGGTGTGCTGGCATATTTTCTACATGGATCACATGTGGTGACATCCACAAGTTACTACAGCCCCCGACAAGAAGGGGTATGTCAGGTGGGTGTGCCGTGGTGATATCTTTATGAGGATGCAACACTCCTGGAAGTGTCAGATGTTCACAAAAGGTTGCAGCGCTGGAAGACAGAGGTCACACTTGACGCTCACTAGAGAGATAAGTATTTGCCGAAATCTGATTATTTGAATTGGATTAATTGCCCCCTCTGAAGACAAAATGCGCATTATTTTTTCTGGGCCCTACCACAGGTTCAAACAACAAAAATACATTGTAGTAGATCCCACTGTTGGTTGCCTGAAGAAGGGACTGCCAGGTCCCGAAACGTTGCTTTGTGTACGATGTGTATAATGGTCTGGCCAACTCGCAAGCAACTTCAGCACGAAATTATAGCTAATTTGCCCACAAACGTCAGGTGGTCATAATAATCTGGCCACTCAGTGTATAACTCTGCATACCTATATAACTTATATAGAACTCTATGTACCTACCTATATAACGCATATATAACTTTGTAATCCTATATAAGTAATTTTTAGAACTCTGTATATCTGTATAACTCAATTTCTCTGTTTTTCTTTTCTTTTATTTCCAGCTAAATATAAAAAGTGAACAAGACCCAACTGAGCCAATGGTATGTGACCATGCATTTTAAAAATCATTTATACATTATAATTAAAAGGCCAAATTTTATTTAGTTTTTTTGAGTAGGGGAGGGTTATAACCCTAAGAGAGGGAAATCCCTGGTGGTCAGCAGGGTCACCAGAACTAGTATCCCCATTTCCCATCTATTCTTGTTCCGATGACAACCCAATATTCGGGATTTCCTTTTCACTTTCAGTGTCAACAGGACAAAAAGAGTGAATACATCTCCCTAACAGGGACCCAGACAGCAATATAAAACCTGACAGGTGTTCTGATCCCTCTCCAGTCTATCCAAAACTAAAGAAAGGTTTTGCTTTCAGTTGCACTTTAAAAAAAAATATTATTAAGACCCTATCTCTTTCTGAAATACCTTCAATTTCAAATCTGCTATAAAATATACTTTTGCTAACGTACAGAGGGAACTTATCATTCACCGCAATGTGATATGCAGAACTCTGACCCTGAGATGGTTAAAGAACCTCTGCTGAGCCGCTCTGCTTCTCCCACCTTGGTGCTTGCGTCAGGCCCCGATCGCCACTGCTGGCTCTTCCACTGTAGCATACAGACCAATCTATAAACAATGTAATTACAATGTTGATGGATCTGCATCTTAAAAACGTTACATTACAGTATTAAAGGTAAACTATGGGGTAAGTGTTTTTCCCCATAGTTCTCCTAAGGGTCACGGGAGGACATAAACTAGCGTCCTCCCGTGACCCAAAGCTCAGTATATCGCGAGCTACAGCTCGAGGTATACTGAGACCACCGCAGCCGGAACGGATCATGACATTACTATCGAGATCCACCCAGCTGAGTGTTTGACAGCTGGCTCTGCCTATCTAGAGGCAGATCCAGCTGTACCCGCCCCCTCCGCCGTCTGTTCCGCCAGTCAGCGCTGGAGGATAGGAGCAGGGAGGGGGGGAATCCCTGCAGGGAGCCGTGAGTGACAGTGACACGGCTCTCTGCATGGACATGATCAAGAAGTGAGCGAGGGACGATATGTCTTCGCTCACTTCCCGATCTATTCAGTCGTCGTGTGACAGTTTCAGTGTCACACGTCGGCTCGAACTATGAGGCTGAGTGAAAATCACTCCCCTCATAGTTCTCCTTTAAACTAATATTTCATCCCAAATATTTCAAAGTCCTGTACAAACAGTATATTCTCTTTCTGTATTCTGCAGGATAATCTAGGAAAAACGATATCTGTCTCAAATTCTTCCTTTACCATCTTGCTTCTTTGATGCTTTTTTCATATTCTGTCTCAATGTTTTATCTTTCTTATAGTATTGTTGCCCTATCTCCTTATTCCATTGTTCTATACTGTATATATCTCTCTCTCCTCCTCAGCATATTTCCTGATTCCAGCTAATATTCATCCGCCCCCCCAAAAAAACCATTTACAACACATTGCGCCACATTTATGGCTTCGTCAAGGAAATGCAACGTGTAAAAGTACTTGTGTGCATTATGCACAAAATGTTCCCAAAATCCATATTTGCAAGAAAAGTATAAAAACAAGTAACCCAGTATGTGTAAAAATAGAAATTTTATCTCTCCAACCCTGTTCCATCTGCTGGGTTGAATGATGATCAGCATCTTTACACACACTTGCTGTGGGCCCAGTACATCATGTACGCTCACTTGGGTACATCCTCATACCAGGCTGGGCTTAAAGTGCATCCGCGTATGGTGCTCATGTAAAAATGAGATCACATCATTCCATGAACGCTGTTCTGTGCAGAAATAAGGACTGCCTCCCATCAATACAAGGACCAGTGCCATCATGTGATGTGTCAGAAGACTGCAGGATTTACACCATTCTTTATTAAAAATATATGTATACTTACCTTTATTCCTAAGGTCTTCAGTCCAGTTAGACAATGTCACAAATCACATTCCTTCTGTCATATCCTCAGTGATGATGGGGTCCTAAATACTTTGTCCTCAGGGTCCAGAGGAGGTGTGAAATATCCCCACGCTATCGACCCCCTTTCCCAAAACTCCAATCACAACACATAAATCATATTTTCGGAATATGTTTGCACTTGGCTCATTTTGGCTGCACGGTTGCTGTATGTGTCCTCTGAACTCTAACATGATGATATCAATAATTATAAGACAATGATAACTCTTCATCTCATCCAGTGAATTAAATTTTCTTCCTTTGTTCTTCATCAGTTAATAAATTGCGAAAGTCCCGTCATCGAAATGGAATTGCGCCATGGTCCTGATCTCCAGCTGAACACAACCACTGTGGATCCAGACCAGACCATTCAAGTGCTGGTAAGTTCTTCTTTGCCTTTTACGGCAGCCAGTAGAGATGAAAGCACAATCTAGCTTATAAGTGCCAAAGCTGTAAGGTGATAATAAAATGAAACGAAGGGCCCAGTACGCTGGTGATACACCTAACAAACTGATTGTACAATCTCCATTAGACCTGATGACAACTATGTAGTAAAAAGGGCCTGTCTGGTAGAATATGAAGGTGGGGTATATTCAGCAGGGCCGGACTTCAGCATAGCCAACATGGGGCATTACTTGGTTTAGCAGGGCTTCCATAAGAGGCGCACAGCCACCCACACTTCCTGACTGTAACACATTGCCGTGCATGATAAAGTTGGGACTGCCTCCCTGCATGCCAGTGCAATCTAGTCAAGTCATCATTATTGCTGTCCCTGCTCATCTTTACTATGTACTTACAGTGCTCCTGCTCTAGAACTGTATTCCTAGAACCACCTAGCAGAGAAAGATAAAAGTATACCCAGGGCCGGTGCTGCCACTAGGCAGCTGCCTAGGGCGCAGTCTTGACCGTTCACCGCCCAGGGTGCCCCACGTCTATTTCAAATTGCAAAAGCCAATAGCAGGCTGGCTATTGCACCCGCCCACTGAGCAGAGGAGCATAACTGAGAGACAACTTTCTTTCTCAGGTCCGCTCCTCTGCTCAGTGGGTGGAGTTTCAATAGCCAGTCTGCTATTGGCTATTTCAAATTAAATTACATCCACCTGTCGCCTGCAGAAGCTAACCCGCAGGAGAATAGGGCTGTGCAGGGGGGGGTTAGGGGTTGCGCCACGAGAAGTGGGGTGTAAGTAGCTCAGCTTGCCTAGGGCGCAAAATAGTCTAGCACTGGCCCTGCGTATACCCTTTTCTTCTAGTGGGCAGTTCCAGGTGTACTGATGCATACTCACCATGTGGAATCACAATTCTTGACACGTCTTGCGCAGCATCTACACTTAGTGTGATACCAAGGCTAGCTAATCAACTGGAGCAGCAGGGAGGAGCAAAACACAGTATAAGAACAACTGTGCTTTACATTCCATATTTCACACCTCCTTGTTCTGTGCACTCTGCTGTACATTCCCTAATTCACACACTGCCTTGTTCTATGAACTGTGCTATACATTCCCTATTCCACGCTGTCTCACTCTTTACACTGTGCTGTTCATTTCTTGTGCCTCAACGCCCCATTCTGTGTGCTGTGCTGTACATTCCCTATTCCACACTGCCTTATTCTATCCCATATGCTGTGCAGTACATTCCTTATTCCCAGGGCCGTCCCTACCCTATATGCCACCTGAGGCAGTGGAGCTGGGATGAGGGGGTTTGGGATGGCAGAGGGTGCTGCTGATAGTGCTGAGAGGGGGTGCTTTGTGGCGGATGCACTGGGACGGCGGCTGTGCCAAAACCATACTGTGAGTGGCTCTCTGCCCGGTCCCACTCACTGACGCACTGGTTGCCAGAAGCACGGTGGGGTTAATCGTCTCCCTGGCAACTGATGACGTCGATAAGCTAGGCAGGAAGCTGGACAGATCGTCACAGGTTGCTAAGAGCTATTAGCAACCTGGAACACTGTGGCCACCCCTCTGCCGCCAACTCCCTAATGAGATGTCGCTTAAGGCGACTGCTTCAGGCTACCTCATTATAAGGGCAGCCCTGCTTATTCCACACCACCTCTTTCTATGCACTGTGCTGTATATTCCCTATTCCATACCAGCCCATTTTGCGCACTATGCTGACAGTCCCTTTTCCATGTTGTGCCATTCTGTATGCTGTGCTATGTTTGTAAAAGTAGGCTTTCTGTTAAAGGCACGGTTAGAGTATTTCCCAGCCATACTAATAGTTCCCAGTCATCCCTGCTAAGGGTGAAACCATACACATGGTGGACAAAGCCATCCATAGGAATTAATGGGGTGAGGAGGGCTCGGGCACAACAGACACAAAGCCCGGCTGTCACTATTTACACTCAAAACCTGTGTAGTGCTGGGAAAGGCCAGGCAGTGAAGACCTCCAGGGCAGGACTGAAGTATTTCAAACTTCTGGGTACATAGAGGGTGTGGTAAATGGAAAACTATACTAAGTTTACATCTAACCTACATTGGCAGGAAGTACAAATACTGCTTTAGATGTACTCTAATGGTTACAGAGTTTCCAGTATGGTTTTGTAGCCACCTTGTTTGTCATTGTGGTTTATTTATTTATTTTTACAGACATCGGTCAACATTCCAATGCATAACCTTCCCAATACCATGACACTGAGCATGTGTTCCCTACTGGTGCGGGACCATGAGCAGATCCTTCAGCAGACGAGCCCAGGCGTAGTCAATAACAGATTTGTTTGGACGTTTAACACAAGACTCCCAGTGGTAGAAGCCCCAGTCTGTGGAAAGATCACATGTACCTACTGCATGGCTAACTCAAAGTCGAAGATGTTAGCCATCGAGGGAAACTCAAGTGGATTTCCAGTAAGCAAGGATTTGTACTGTTCACCTTAAAATAATACTTGATGTAACTTTTACATGTTCACAGGCTTTCTCTACCATATGTTGTATTCTTGTATTACATCTACAGACATTAAAGGAGAACTATGGACTAAGTGTTTTTCCCCATAGTTCTCCTAAGGGTCACGGGAGGACATAAACTAGCGTCCTCCCGTGACCCAAAGCTCAGTATATCGCAAGCTACAGCTCGCGGTATACTGAGACCGCCGCAGCCTGGACGGATCCCGACATTACTGTTGAGATCCACCCAGCTGCGTGATTGACAGCGGGCTCTGCCTATCTAGAGACAGAGCCAGCTGTGCTCTGAGTCAGCCCCATATATACAGTATGTCTTAGGCATTTACATCTATTGGCCTTAATTCTTAGGATGTTCTTGGAGTGTTCCATCTCTTCCTGTCGCATACTCCATGTTATACAATAAAAAATCATGCAGGAGCCCCTCCACTCAAAGTGGCCACAGCATATGTGCAGACCCAGGAACTCGGCACAGAGATCTTACCAATAGTGTCCCCAAGACCTGTAAGATCTGGTTTGACAATCCAGCACCTACCAACAATAGGCAGTTTTGGCTAGATTAACCCTTCAAATCTCCTTGTCCTGATTTTCTCTGCTGCAGTTAAGAAACACTTAAGGCTCTTTCCCCTCCCCAACCCTGTCATTGGAAAGTGAAAGTCCTGCTATCAGCTTGCTAGCTCATGAGCACACAGGTGCAGCCGATAGGCTGCTTGTGCTGTTTCTACCTTTCTCAGTCCATGCTCTGCTGTACAGGGATTGCAAGAGGCTGATTCCAGGTCAGCTAGCTACACGGCTTGAATTTAAAATATACATTTCATTATTTATCAATGAATACAGAGCTGCATTCATGTTTCTCCTTTTTACCTCTGCCTGGAGTTCAGCTTTAGGTTACTGGATGCTAAGCAGAGAGAAGGAGTACTTGACACAGCGGGTTGCTTGCAGTCTCTATGCATGAAATATTTTGCTGGTGCAATTGAATTATGGTGGTGATAGACTGTGAATGCCGGTGACCCAATGCCTTTATTTTCTTTATTCCAGAGTTGCCCGGCCCATTTCCAAATGCAGAAGTCACTGGACTTGATTATTAGATCTCCTAATCATAGTAAGTCATTATAAAATGTTTGCTTGTCAGGGCTTCAAGTGTGGACGGGAGCTCAGGGTGAGGGAGCTGAGCTGCTGAGAGAATGACACTTCAGTGTGCTTTGCATCTCTTTCCCTGAAAGCCCTGTTCTGAATGCATTTTCCAGGTCATTGACTTTAGAACGTAAAACTAAGCTTTGATCAAATAATATGGTCTTAGTGTGGTAGAACCAGGCGTTCCAGTACGTAGCCCATGAAGCCGCATTGAAAAAGTCTTGAAGGTGCTTTTGACTGGTGGAAACGCCAAGGCTCAAAGTCATATTTGGCCAACAGTTTTTGCAATGCAACAGATGAGTAGCCAAACTTCGGCCCTCCAGCTGTGATGAAACTACAAAACCTGTCATGCTTCAGCCTCTGGGAGTCATGCCCAGTGCTGTCATAGTCTTGCAATGACCTTTAGGACTTTCACTGTAGCTAGAGGGCCAAAGTTTGGCCACCCCTGCAATAGACTTTTGTCACGTAGCTGTATCAGTTTGAAAGATAACACAATTCTTTGGTTACACTCCAGATGGGACTGTTATTGTCATTAACCTTGGGGGTGAGCTGCCTCCCTCCTTTTTATCACCCGAGTCTAATGATGTTATAGTCAGGGAGCAGATTGCACGAGTGCAGCGGCTGACCTCAGGAAGGAGTGTGAGGTGACCCCAGAGAACATGGAATGAGGGAGATGAGAGGGCAGGAAGGAAGCCACCGGAAGCCAAAATAAACATGCGGCCATCAGAAAGGAGAGGGGAAGAGACACTGAGGACCCATCAGCTAGAACAGGGAGGAAGGGTATCATGGATGCCGAGTAGATAAGCTGGCTGGCAGCAAATATCACAACTAACATGCCAAACCTCATGAGCGGAAATACATTAAAATGCATAAATGTTCATTGCGGTAAACCGTGGTGGTCACATTTCTGCTTAGAACTTCACATTAAATAAGCAAAGAGAAAAAAAAATGATGTTCCTATGAAAGAAAACTGGCTTAAACTGTTGTGTCTCTCCAGAGCAGGGACTCGGGATGGGATCTGTGCTGGGGATCACATTCGGAGCATTCGTCATTGGAGCGCTTCTCACGGCTGCCCTATGGTACATCTACACACACACACGTGAGTAATGAATGCTGCTTATTATTTTGCTGGTTTTGCACTTTACTGAATTTGTCCTTGACGTGACTTCCAATGTTGTATCCAATATTTGTTTAATAAAATGGGGAATTTTAATGGATTCACTGGGTTAATCAATCCAGTCTAGGGACATTACGTTTTTACCTCTCAATAATCTCCTATTTTAATCATAAAATATTTGTAACTGATCAATATATAAGATCACTTTAAGGCAATAATTAGTGACCGTCAGAGGTCACCTTTACAAGGTGTTTGCATATTCTAACACCTAGGAAACAGACAAATAAACTATATTGCCAAAAGTATTGGCACACCCCTCCAAATCATTGGATTCGGGTGTTCCATGAAATTTCCATGCAACTAAATATTCCGCGGTCACCTGTTAGTGGTATTATAACAAAGTGGAAGCAACTGGGAACAACAGCAACTCAGCCAGGAAGTGGTAGGGCACGTAAAATGACAGAGCGGGTTCAGCGCATGCTGAAGCGCAAAGTGCACAGAAGTCACCAACTGTCTGCAGAGTCAATAGCTACAGACCTCCAAACTTCGTGTGGCCTTCAGATTGGCACAACAACAGTGCGCATAGAGCTTCATGGAATGGGTTTCCATGGCCGAGCAGCTGCATCCATGCCTTACATCACCCAGTGCAATGCAAAGCGTCGGATGCCGTGGTGTAAAGCACGCCGCCACTGGACTCTAGAGAAGTTGAGACGTGTTCTCTGGAGTGACGAATCACGCTTCTCTGTCTGGCAATCCGATGGAGTTGTCTGGGTTTGGCGGTTGCCAGGAGAACGGTACTTGTACTTGTTTTTCAGTGGTTGGGCTTGGCCCCTTAGTTCCAGTGAAGGGAACTCTTAAGGCATCAGCATACCAAGACATTTTGGATAATTTCATGCTCCCAACTTTATGGGAACAGTTTGGGGATGGCCCCTTCCTTTTCCAACATGAGATGCCCGGGACATGACCTCACAAATGGTCCAACATTCCCATAGACACACTCCTAAACCTTGTGGACGCCTTCCCAGAAGAGTTGAAGCTGTTATAGCTGCAAAGGGCGGAGCCAACTCAATATTGAACCTTACGGACTAAGACTGGGATGCCATTAAAATTCATGTGCGTGTAAAGGCCGGTGTCCCAATATGTTTGGAAATATAGTGTATCTGCCATTGTCTTTCTTCAAATGTTGGGTGTTTTTGCATGTATATATGGCAAATAAAGGTTTTGTGAATTCCTTCAGAGTCACTTCTGTTGTTCAGTCTGGGGAAAAAGAACACTTTTAAATGCTGAGTAGGTGTTTAGTTAAATGAACAATTTCATGGATATTTTTAATACTTAAATTACAAATACCCTGACAATACATTAGTATCAGAACATTCTGTGTCCCTCTTCCACTGCTGGATTTACCTACAATTGTTCAAGAGAGGACAAACAACAAAGCTAAAATCTCACCAGGTTAAGGTTCCTTATTTTCTAAAAAGTGATAGTTGAGTCCAATGAGATTTAAAAATTAGTCACGTAGCTAAAATTAAGGTCCTAATCCTTGTGTTAAGGTTTTGTGGATTGAGCCTAAAATGCATTTGCGTGATGCCCCATCAGCCCCTAGGGCCCATTCAGACCTATCCATTGCGGCAGCTTGTATCAGTGTGTTGCAGTGACAATCATTTACAATGCAAGCACATGTTTATTCAATGGCAACACACATCTGACTTCCATGTTCAATGCATGGTAACACAATGGTGTGCATTGTGGTATGCTGCGTCACAAAAAATTGTGCATGTCTGATTTATGGTCCATTTTAGAGCGTTTTCAAATGAACGGGCCGCCGTAACATAACACACTTGAACACGCATGCATTAAAGCACATGTGCCAAAATCAAGGCCCAGGGGCCGAATCCGGCCCACCAGGCCATTTCCTAGACTTCAACTTTCAGATCTAGGTATTAAATTATTACTAAAACCAGCGATAATCGAATGCAGAGGCAATTATGATAAAGATTAGATGCAATTTATATAGTCTTACAGATACCTTTGAGGGCAACCATAATGTTGATGAGGCCCACGATTAAATTGAGTTTGACACCCCTGCTTAAAGCAACTTCACAGTAATCTAAATGGGCCCTTAGGTTTGCAAGTGCTTATAGTAGCTCTGGCATTGAACACTTTCAGCAATTTTATAGTCTCACTGCCCTGCCTTATAATATCCTGGTTAAAAAAACAAGAAAAGATGGAGTTGACATCCCTGTTACTTGAAGTGACATTTGTTTCTCTTTATTTAGGTTCATCAGTTAAAATGCAGCCAGTCCCAACGCTAACCGGAGGCTCGGAAAGTAGCAGCACAAACCACAGTATTGACAGCACGCAGAGTACCCCGTGCAGTACCAGCAGCAGGGCGTAACGTGATGGTGCCTTATCACGGGGAAGGGGCATCATTTGAAGGGTCCTAAAAGCCCAAACAGCAATACTATGAGCTGACGTTTGAGCCCCCATCAGATGGAATCCATCTTGACAACCTGCTTTGCTTATTTTAGCGTATTGCTGACATCGGGTAAAATAGAAGACGTGGACTCTTTATGACAGATCAGTGATGGCCATGGACCAAAGTGGGTTGACCAGAGTAAAGGTGGCCACAAAACAACATAATGGAACTGACTCAAGTGGCATAGTTGGCAAAACTCTCGAGAGTCCAAAGCACATTTTTGTTTTTTTTCTTTAGAGACATAAAGCTATAAACATCCTACATATGACATTATACATCCAACCTACAGTTACTTGCTTTTACATGCAGTTTAACTTGACATCAGAGATGTATTCTGAACACTGTTTTGTTTTTTTAGCCCTAAGGGGGAAGTCTTGTGAGATTTCCCAGCCGTTATTCCTTTTGCCGTGATAGCTTGCCACTCTAAAAGTGGAAACTGTAGCAGATACAATGATAAAATACCTCAGGAAGATGGCAGGATTCATGTATTACGGCACTAGGCTGGGGTCTAGTCCGGCCCAAGCTGTACAGTGCATCACTCATCCTGGCTTGAATACTTTCTTAAATCGTATCACAGTTGCATTATCATCCCATGTTATGCCAATACCATTTTTTAATTCGTTATTGTGTTGATAATATCTATTGCTCAAAGTGGTATCAAGGTGGATATAAACTTATGTGGCTAGAGGTGTCCATAGACATGAGATAATTGGTACCTGTTACAAACAAGTGCTAATCAGGGCTACACAATGGGTACCTGCAAACTGAACAAAAAAAACAATAGCCTGCTCAGGGATTTTCCACAAGGCCAAGCAAAGCCCGGCCTTGGGGCAGCAGGGGTGTGGAATTCCTATCTCCCGAATGCCTGGGACATGCAGTTCGGGCTCCGGGCGGGTAGTTGTTTTCTACATATAGCTCTGCTTTGAGCAAGCAGAGCTAAATGTACAGCGGGGAAACCGCCGCTTGCTTTGTACAAGTGATCCCGGGGATGTCGCCAATATCCCTTGTATGCAGCCTGCAGGTCTGCCATTCTCTATGTGGGGGGGCGTAGGCATATAGGGGGGCGCATTGAGGAAACTGGCCTTGGGGCAGCAGAGAGAGAAAATCTGTCCCCGAACCTGCTTGTACTCCATTCCATAAAGTGCAGAGATATAGCTCCCTTAGATATGGGGTGGGTGCAATGGTGGACACTGGCAGCATGACATGTAAAAGTAAAAGTAAAAAAACAACTTATCAATCCCCTTCCGATAGGCACACTGTAAAAAAAAATGAAAATGAACCATTGACTTGCATACAGGGAGCACAATCTACCTGCTAATGCTTCAGTTTTTAGTACTGCCATCCACCATACTGCCTTTTGTTGGCTATCTATTGATCTTGGAGCACGCTGGCCCTTAAAGCTTGTTTTTTTTTACCAAACCCTTATACTGAGGTTTTGGGGTTCTTGGGATCTCCACGACAACTTTCTCAAGGTAAAGCGAAGTCAACATATAACAGAATAATATTTTGGTCAATTCAAGATTCAGCAAAGCAATTAAAACATATATTGAGGGTGCCTGCAGGCAAGACTGGCCAAAGATATTTGGAGGAAATAGCTAATGGGCAGGTTAAACTGCTATTGTTTTTCCTTAGATCAACTGACTGAGAAACTGTCTACATGTACATCCCTTCTCCCCATTGTTAATGCCTGAAGCTAGACTGATGGACACCATCACATGGTCAGACTACATCTATATATAATCAGACCACACCTATATATGATCCGACTACACCTATATATAATCATACCATACCTAAACATGATCAGACCATGCTTATACATGATCAGACCACACCTATACATGATCAGATCACACCTTTGCATTATCAGAGCAGGTCTATACATGATCAGAGCAGGTCTATATATGATCAGACCATCCTTATACATGATCAGACCATCCTTATACATGATCAGACCATCAGACCATGCTTATACATGATCAGACCACACCTATACATGATCAGACCATGCTTAAACATGATCAGACCATCCTTATACATGATCAGACCAACAGACCATGCTTATACATGATCAGACCACACCTATACATGATCAGACCATGCTTAAACATGATCAAATCACACCTATACATTATCAGGGCAGGTCTATACACGATCAGAGCACGTCTATATATGATCAGAGCACGTCTATATATGATCAGACCATGCTTATACATGATCAGAACCACACCTACACATGATCAGACCATGCGAATACATGATCAGACCACACCTATACATGATCAGACCATCAAACCATGCGAATACATGATCAGACCACATGCTAATACATGATCAGACCATACCAGGTTCTTAACGGCTGTTCTGATGACAAACATACTGAAATATGAGGTGTACATACACCGCCCTGATCATTTAGTACCACTATAACACGCACAAATATATAAATATTTTGGGAAAAGTAACTGTAAAAAGTATTGATTAGGAATTTCCAAATCCAAAACCCCACAAGACTATACATAGACCTATAAAAAGAAAATTGTTACATTTTTATTTATATATTTTTTTTTACTATGTAAAAGCTTTTTTTTATGTACTAAAGGTTGGATTTGTATATTAACCAGTAATGCTACTTAGTATAACAATTACTGGGGTATTGATGGCTGCTGACTACAGCTTGGAAGGTTTGCTGGCCTTCTTCCTGTAATGAGATCAGACGATGGTTGTATATATTTATTCATGCTTATGTATTACTTGTAAGGTTGTAGAAAACAAAATGTATTTTAGTGTGTTTAGAATATATGTCTATATATGTTGGATGCTGGTACATTATATATTGATTATAACCCCCAATGTTGGACTTGATACATCTCCTATAAAAGCTCTGTGTGACGCCATTTTCTGTAAAGGAAATGGATTGAAAATAGATATTGTTCTATCCTATTTATCACATGTATATGGTCTAGAACATGATATAATGGCCATGTTACACACCATGCAAAATGCAGTAACCCACAACAACCAATCATTTCTCAGATCAGTGAAAGATTCATTTTGATTGGTTGTGCGCTCCTGATTTCAGGACATTGCTCTTTCATCTTATTTAAAGTGCAACTGAAGCCCAAAATTTTTATTTTTGGATAGAGTAAGGAGAGATCAGAAGACCTGCCAGGTTTTTATTGTTATCAATGTCCCCGTTAGGGAGAGTCACTCTCTCTACTTGTCCTGGTGGCCATTGTCACTGAAAGTGAAAAAATCCCAACAGGAATAGATGGGAGATTTTCTAATGGTGGCCCTGCTGTCCACCAGGGATTTCCCTCTCTGTGCGTGGATTTCCTCTTACTTCCTGTTGTGGCTATCAGACAGGAAGTGCGGGGTAATCTCCCCAATGGGACACCGATGGCAAAAAGAAGCTGTTATAACCCTTGCTGACTCTTTCCAAAATGTTGGCTTCAGTTCTACATTAACATGCGTAAAAATGCTTCTATATTGTTTATGAGTAGGAAGTCCCTTTTGTGTGATGCCCCTCAACATTCTGCCTCCGGATTCCATACAGACATGAATAAAGTAGAATCCATTAAGGTATCTATGAAAAGCTGAACTATAGTGAAAGTAGCTTCACCTCCACAACCCGACCACCCCGCCACCTTACATTAGCAAATGGTGCAAGAGAGCACTGTAGCCTTTACCTGTCCTGCAGATGATGCATGAGCATCCAGGGTGGTCAACCACATGACCAAATGCCTCGGCGTTTGTCACATGGTTGTACCATCTATTATGGTAAGAGGGCAGGCTGGTTAGGAGGGCAGGGGGTACTTTTACTATATGTCTGCTTTATAACAGGTCAATGTGAAGAGTGTAGCAACCAGTACATCCACATTATGTACCGGTGTGGTGTGTTTATCTCAGTCCAAGGCACCCTCTTTCCTATGGCGGCCTCCATTGGATGCCTCTCATTCTGCAAATGCCAGTTTCCTCATTGTCATGCTGATCCTCTTGAGGAGAGCAACTTTTCCCTGACTGGCTGCACGCTTGCCCTGGGCATGTGAATATTGAAGCCAGACAGAGCTGGAGGCAATACTATCTGAGTCCCTGCCCTGGGGCAAATGTGCAGACCAGGAAAGTAGAAGTTCTTATCTGCATTCTTACTCTGGGTCACAGACTCAGAGTAATTCACACCTATGCGTGAGCATAGGCAAGCAATTTAGAGGCTTTTTTTGTAGTACAGTAGCCTGATTGTGTGATTTTTGGCACCCGTAGAACTATGAATGGGAGTAAGCTTTAGAAAAGTCCATTAGGCCAAAAACGGATGACTCTGTTCTCAAAAAGGCTAAATTTTCAAGCTGCACACGACAACATGCCAAAAGCGACAACGCGCAGGTGTGCAGGCCCATTAAGAATAATGGGATTCTTCATTGTGAGCATTGCCACACATCAGGAATCATGCCACAAAACGCTCAGGTGTGAATGGGCCCATTGAAAATAATGGGTTCTTCATTGCGAGCATTGCAACACATCGGGAATCACACCACAAAAAGCTCAGGTATGAAAGGCCCATTAAGAATAATTGGATTCTTCATCATGAGCATTGTCACGCTTTGGGAATCGTGCCACAAAACGCTCAAGTGTAAATGGGGCCTCAATGACCTAAAAAACTGGGCTAAGAGTATCAGCATAACAGCCAGGCACCAGGCATTTTCAGAAAGCATTTAACAATATCAGGCCCCATATTTCTTGTAGCAAATATTTACTTTAAAGGGAATCTGTGAGCACAGGAACATGGGAGCTGCAATTGGTGACTTGATATTTAAAGATGCAGGCTCCAGGGATGTTATCCTGATCACTTCTTTACTACCTAGAGAGTCACTGACCATGAACAAGCATACAGGACAAGAGTTCAGACTTCACTGGCTGCATGTTCTGTTCCACGTCACTGGAGCCTACACTGGCAATGGTGGTGGCTCCCAATTTCTGTTTCACATTAATGGAGCCTACACCAGCAATGGCGTCTCCCAATGTCTGTTTCACGTCACTGGAGCCTACACCGGCAATGGCGGCTCCCAGTTTTTGTTCCATGTTACTGGAGCCTATACCAGCAATGGCGTCTCCCAATTTCTGTTTCACGTCACTGGAGCCTACACCGGCAATGGCGGCTCCCAGTTTTTGTTCCATGTTACTGGAGCCTATACCAGCAATGGCGTCTCCCAATTTCTGTTTCACGTCACTGAAGCCTACACCGTGGGTGGCTCCCAGTTTTTGTTCCATGTTACTGGAGCCTATACCAGCAATGGCGTCTCCCAATTTCTGTTTCACGTCACTGGAGCCTAC